ATGGAAACACATACCGACAGCTTACTCAGTTTCACTCTGTGTGGTGATTCTTTGTGTAAATATCCCACGACTTGCCCATATCCATTTTTGCTAGTCATGGACATTTAAATTATTTCCAGATTTTTACTATTATGTACAATGCCACTGTAAATATTTTTAGACATGTCTCCTGGTGCCTATAAGTAGGAGACACCCTTAGGTTATGCTTAGCAGGGAAATTGTGGGTGATAGTCTTCGTGTATGTTCACGTTTACTAGGTAATATCAAAAATTTCCCCCAGGTGATTGTATCTATTTGAAAGGCAGAATAGAGAAAAGAGATCTCACATCCTCTAGTTCATTCACCAAATACCTACAATAGCCAGTAGTCAGTCCTGCCAAAGCCAGGAGCCTCCAACTCCATCCGGGTCTCCCACGTGGGTGGCAAACGTGCTGCCTCCCAGGCTGTGCATAAACAGGAAGCTGGATCAGAAGTAGAACAGCCTGGACTCAAACCAGACGCTCTAATATGGGATACTGGGGGCATAACTGCCAGGCCAAACATCTGCCCCTTCACCTGTCATTTAAGTGGGAAACAAAACTGAAGGAATGGAGGAACCACCTAGAAATAGACTGAGAAGAGAAGCTAGCCGCAAGAAACTCCCACACTTAGTTGTTGGGTAGAGAAAAAAGCATTATTTTTATAACTGCTTGAATTGAAAGTTACTTCATTTACTTTACTTATTGTGTGTATGTGTGTTTTTTTTAATATTAAAGGTAATGAGTTTGTCCCTTTGGATAATTCTGACTATATTTAATAAACTTGGATTCAATGTAAGTATTTAACAAAATTTCTTACAGTTTTTTTAATTTGCTTAAATTTCTATAAATGTGTTGCTCTGTAATTTGGAAATTACCATGCTATAACTTATTTTTGTAATATAATATATATATATATTCTCTTTGGCCTTCTGGAGGTCAGAATATTAATTTTACTTGGTTGCTTTTGAAAAACAGTGTGAAATATTTGCAGAGTATGTATGTAATTTAATTACTTGAGGAAGTTGTCTCTGAGGCATAACTGACAAAATACTGTATATATTGAGAGTGTTCAACATGGTGTTTTGATGTATGTGTACATTGTGAAATGATTACCACAATCAAGCTAATCAGCAATCCATCACCTTACACAGTCATTGTGAGTTTGTCATGAGAACGTTTGAGTTCTACTCAGCAGTTTTCAAGGACGCACACGTTAACTATCATCACTGTGCTCTCCTGTAGATTTCTAGAACTTACACATCCTGTCTAACAGAAACTTGGTGCACTTGGCCAGCGTAATCATGCCATTCCCTCCCTTCCTCAGCCCTAGTAATCCATTCTACTGGCTGCCTCCACGAATTCAGCTTTTTTTAGATTTCACATATGTGAGATCATGTTTGCAATTTAGTTATTAGCTGTTCAGATTTCTGTGTTCTTATTTTTCTATTTGATATGATAGAATTTGTAGTGGCTTATTAAAATTTTCCCTCTAAAGTTTATTTCTACATATTTCTCATACATTTTAATAGTTTTACATTTTAGTGCTGGGTAATCTGATGCAAACACTTTCATAGTTTTTATTGTTTCTTATAATGCTTATGCCGTATATTCACACATATGAGTGTACCCTTTTCACATTTTCACATTTACTGCTTTCTTCCTTGAATTCTCCTTTTTACTATTGTCCTGACATTCATTTTCTTTCCTTCTTTTTTCTTTTCTTATTTTTTAAAAAGATTTATTTATTTTACTTGAAAGTCACAGTTACACAGAGAGAGAAAGAGAGGCAGAGGCAGAGAGAGAGAGAGAGAGATCTTCCATCCACTGGTTCACTCCCCAAATGGCCACAATGGCCAGAGCTGGGCCTATCTGAAGCCAGGAGCCAGGAGTTTCTTGCGAGTCTCCCATGCGAGTGCAGGGGCCCAAGCACCTGGGCCATCTTCCACTGCTTTCCCAGGCCATAGCAGAAAGCTGGATGGGAAATGGAGCAGCCGGGTCTTGAACTGGCACTCATATGGGATGCCGACACTTTACCCACTATGCCATAGCACCGGCCCTTGACATTCATTTTATTTATGTTTGCCTAATACATTTTAAAACATCTGTTAATTTTAAAAATTTATTCATTTATTTATTTTCACCTACTTGAAAGGCAAAAGAGAGATCGATCTTCCATCACTGGCTCACACCTCAAATGCCTGCCATAGCCAGGGCTGAAGCCAGGATCCTGGAACTCCATCCAGGTCTCTCACGTGGATGTCAGTGACCCAAAAACATATGCATCATCTGCTACCTCCCAGGAGGCATTAACGGGAAGCAGGATTGGAAGCAGAGGTGCCTGGACTTGAACTGACACTCCAACCTGGGATATTTTGTTGTAAGGGGGTGTATTAACCATCTGAGCCACAGGGCCTACTACCCTACCTGTTGATTTTAAATTAGTTTGTTATTTTTTAGTTGCTTCTCTTGCCTTAAGAATTTGCAGGTGTTGTGGCACAGGGGGTTGAGCTACCTCCTGTGATACTGACATCCCATATGAGCACATGTTAGAGTCCCAGCTGTTCCACTTCCCATCCAGCTCCCTGCTGATGCACCTGGGAAAGCAGCACAAGACAGCCCAAGTACTTGGGTCCTTGCCACCCACATGGGAGACCTGGGAGGAGTTCTAGGCTCCTGGCTTCAGCCTGGATCAGCTCTGGCCGATGCAGCCATTTGGGGAGTGAACCACAGGTTGGAACGTTCTCACTTTGTCTCTGTTCTTGTGTCTCTCTGTCACTCTGCCTTTCCAATAGATAAAATAAATCTTAAAAACCAAAAAAAGGATTTGTGTGGGGAGCAACTCGGACTAGACTAAGTTACTGGAATTAAGACTTATTCTATGCATCTGCTCTCCCACAATATGGCGCTGGGAGAGAAGAAAACAGCTTCTACACAGCTGCCTCCAGTTCAGCCAATAAACTGTAGGACTTGCTCCTGATTGGAGGAGAGCAGCGTACTCGGCGTGTGGGCAGCCGAGTTGGGATTGGCAGAGGAGGACTATAAAGGAGGAGAGAGACGGCATGCACCAGGAACATCTAAGGGAACATCTAAGGGGAACACCTGTGCAGCCCCCGAGAGAGCCGGCCGGCGGTGTGCCGCTCCCCCACGGAAGTGGGGAATGTGGCCAGGGGGAACTGCCCTTCCACGGAGGTGGAAGGGATAGTAGCCAACCCGGGAAGAACCAGCAGCAAACCCGGGGAGGGCCGAGCAGACGAAAGAACAGCGCAGGGTCATGTGTCGTTCCTCCACGAAGAGGGGGAGCGACAGATTTGCCTTTTATTTTTACCTAATCCGACAGTATTTACTTTTAAATTGAGGTAGTTTCAGTGCTCTTTCTATGTATTTTTATGTTGTTGAGTGAGTAGTACATGCATAATTTTTACTTTATGCTTTTGATTTTATAATGTGACAAAACAGTTTTCCTCACCAAAATTCTTCTCATAATTGTAGTGAATGATGTTGGTGTACTAGAATTGTACCATAATTTTTGTAATTTGGGAGGTAGGTTGTTCCTTTTGCTGTTCTAATTGTTTCAAGAAAGCCAATGAATTTTGCTGAATTTTGATTTAGGATAGAGTCTTAGAAGTGGAATTACTAAGATAGGCAAACATTTATAATAAGGTTTTTGACAAATACTTTCACTTTTTAAAAAAGATGTATTTACTTATTTGAAAGGCAGAAATATAGACAGAGAAAGGGGGGGAGAGAAAGAGATAGAGAGAGATAGAGAGTAGAAGAGAGAGATAGATCTTTCATCCACTGGTTCACTCCCCAAATAGCTTCAACAGCCAGGGTTGGGCCAGGCAAGGAACCAGGAGCTTCCTCTGGATCTCCCATGTGAATGCAGGGGCCCAAGTACTTGGGCCATCTTCCCCGCCTTCCCAGGTGCATTACCAACCAGGGAGCTGGATGGGAAGTGGAGCCTCTGGAAATCCTACGGGTGCTCATAAGGAATGCTAGCACTGCAGGTAGGAGCTTAACCTTCTATACCACGATTCTGGCCCCAATTTTTCTCCTTTTTTTTTTTTCCTGACAGGCAGAGTGTACAGTGAGAGAGAGAGACAGAGAGAAAGGTCTTCCTTTTGCCGTTGGTTCACCCTCCAATGGCCGCCACGGCTGGTGCTCTGTGGCCGGCGCACCGCGCTGATCCAATGGCAGGAGCCAGGCACTTATCCTGGTCTCCCATGGGGTGCAGGGCCCAAGCACTTGGGCCATCCTCCACTGCACTCCCTGGCCACAGCAGAGAGCTGGCCTGGAAGAGGGGCAACTGGGACAGAATCCGGCGCCCCAACCGGGACTAGAACCCAGTGTGCGGGTGCCGCAAGGCGGAGGATTAGCCTATTGAGACTCGGCGCCGGCCCTTTTTGTTAATTTAGTTTTTTTTTTTCCAGAGAATATAAATCTATAGTTTTATTAAGACAAAAACTGACAGTGTGGTATGAAGTTTACATTTAAACAAAGTTTTCACAGAAATCTAACACATGCCTACAGAGATTTTTACAATGCAGCTCTAGATGCAGGTCTAGACCATGTCAAGAACTGATGGATCTTAGGAATCAAGACGGAACATCTTGGGTCTCAGTTAACTCTTAGGATAAAAAAAAAAAAAAAACGGTTTGGTGTTTTAAAGCAAACCACTGCCCCAGTATGAATGATTATTCTTCTCCTGAGACCAGGGCTTCTGAAATTCAACCCTTGAATAGTTTCAATGAAACTTGTGCTGTCAGTGACTGAACCCTGCCACCCATGGTTTCAGAGTTCAAAATTCAAAACAAACCAGAGGCTTCAAGAGTTTGCTACCTTAAGAGTATGGGTCCTTGTCTTTCCCTACTCTGCCATCTCCTGTACCACTCTCTTCCCCTCTTCCAATACCTCAGCCAGTGGTTTGGATGGATAAGCTGATACAACTTCATAATTGGAAAAAAAAAAAAGGGTCTTCTTGTCTAATTTCAAGAATTAACACCTCTGAGACAGAATGCTCTATCTGCCTGTGTACATTCTCCCTCCCCAGTCAGTCTCCATCTCCAAAACGGCAGCTTTGGTAACTTGTGAACTGGCTTAGTCCTCTGTGGGGGACTTTAAGCTCAGGCAGGGAACACCTTGGCTTACAGGTTTCAGGCATTCACAGCTTTTAAACAGTCTCTCGCAGTCCCCATTTATGGTGTCAATGACATTTTTTTGAAAAGGTAAAATATCCTGGACATAGAACCGAATCTTCAGTTAGTTGTTCTTTCTACTGTTTCATCATTTCCCCAATCAAGCCCCAAATTTTAATCAAAATGATCCAACCCATTTCCCTTTCTCCCTATCCCATCCCTCCCACCCCTAAATAATACACCAGTAATAGCCAAAAACTACACACATGCTACGCTGTAAAAACGCAGAGTTAACACTATTGAGAAGAAGGCTGTGGGTTGTGGAGATGCTCTTTGAAGACCTACAGTATCTTTTTGTTCTCCCACACACCCAATTCTGCAAGTTTTGTCCTTCATAGAAGGCCCTTTGCTTCTCTCAGCAAAGCACAGAATGGGCTGCCTTGAAACACTTCTCCCCATTCCCCTCCACTGGGATGGGTGTGTGAACTACATAGCTTGGAACAGCTTAAAGCACTTGGGCTGCTGCAGGACACAGAAACTATACTGGCTCTTCAAACGACATCTTCTCAAGCCACCTCTATGGTGTCAAGACAAGTAGAACTTCTTCCCTCCTCACTTGAAACCCACGGTCGGATGTGACGGGGCTGGTACTCAAGAGACTTAATTCTTGTCATCTTTTTTGTCGTCATCCTCCGAGGGATAGGAGTGCCACGTCAGCCTTTCCTCATAGAAGGAAATGACAACCTGTGGGCTTGACATTGGCTTCCTTGGCAGGGAGCAGGTCGGCCTCATCAGAGTTTTTCCTGTAACTCATGAGTTCAGGGTGGCAGTCAGGCCGAGGGTCACTATCGAAGGACTATGTCATCTTAAAGATTTCACACCTGGGCAGCTGGAATTTCGAAGGTCCAGCTCTTTTCCTCTGGCATGGAACAGATGGGGAGAAGAAAAAGACAACACACAGACCCACTGGCAGACTCACCATTTCATCAGGGACGTGAGTTCTCCACTTGAGTCTGTAGCTCCAATGATCCGTTCTGGCTCCAAACCCCGGGCAAAGCCTCGTGGCTTTTCTGACTCTTCTTTCTTCTTTGGTTTGCTCTCTTCTCCCTTATCTTCAGAATCAGAATCAGCTTTGCGCTTGCCTCCCTCCGACTTATCTGTCTCATGGTCTGTTTTCTGTGACTGCAGAAACTCAGCAATGAGGTCAGGGCAATCCAGATTCTCTTCTGGTTCCCACGTATTGTCTTCATCTGAGAAACCTTTCCACTTTAGGAGGCACTCCACTTTGCCCTTTACAACTCGACGGTCAAGAACTCTTTCCACCACATATTCCTCTTCCTCCTCTTCTAGCACCTCCTCCACTTTCTTCTTGTTTGTTTTTTCCCCTAGTGCCCGCCAGCTTTCTGGTGTGAAGGGTGACGCTGCTCAAAGCAGCGCCCACGAGCTCGAGAAGAATCGGGGTCGCGCTACTGGTGCGTCGCGTCGGGCTGGCCGGGGGAGGGGTAGTGGCGCCCAGAAAGCAACGAGCCTGGTGGCCGCAGTGGAGCCCCTCACCACAGGCCCCGGCCAACGGCCCTCCCCTCAGCGGAACAGAAGAGCCTCGCACTCTGGGCTGCCCGTCGTCTGCACCGCTAAATTTAGTTTTAATCGGTGACTGAGTCTCAATTTAAACAAATATACTAGAGCTTGTATATCCAAAACATCACCCCCCTTAAAGTGTTCATTCTGCACAGATAAGAGTTTACCTAGCATGCTTCTAATACTGAAACTTTTCTTTATGCGTTGCCCTCAAAGGCTAAGGCATAACCTTTCAGCTACTTTCATTGGTGGTAATCTTAACTTATGACAGTAGATTTCATTTTTTAAGAAAAAGATATCTTAATTTTGTGTCTTATAATTTAAAATGTAGAATAAGCTGGATAGTATTGCCTCTAATGAAATTCTCATTATATATCTACCTGAATGAGATAGGATTTTGATCCACGCTGGTTTGACTTCCAAGCCTGTGGATTTAACCTATAGGCTTACAGTCAGTTGACGAATATTTATTATATTCTTGGTACTGTGCTAAGTACTAAGAGTAGAGGTAGGGCCATAACAGATATGCTTTTGGTTCTTGTACTTATATGAGTCTTGCTTTTAAGGAATTTTCTTTTCCAGTAATATCTTTTAAGCATATAAGTAATGGTACTTGAAAAAATTCCATTTTGTTACTTTATACTTAGAAATCATGTATATGACCTCGTGATTATATAATTTCTTTAAAAACAGAAGGCATTTCTTCCTTTTATCTCAAAGTGGCTATACATTTACTTGTTTTAATGAATGTCTGGTTTTGTATTGGTTGCTTTTCAAGTGGGATATTATAATTGATCAGTTTTTAGGTTTATGGTGGATAAATAAACCTCCGCCCACAGAGGAGCACAGAGAAAGAAAAAAAAGAAGAAAGGTCACCAGTTTGCAGAGGTGACACGCAAGGGGCGCCGCGGAACATCCATGGTGCGGGCAGACACGTGGAACAAGGCATGACAAAAACGAGCAGAGTTTTGAGAGTGAGGGAGCGGGGGCCCAGAGATTTGTAATATTCTATTGCTCTAGATCTAGCAAAGATACTGACAGAAAAGGGA